CGCCGACTGGCATCTGGCATCGCCGGAATTTGAGGCGCGAACGACAGACACACTGAGTGACTACCGGACACGCACGCAGCATACTACTGTACTCACACTGTACATGCAATGCAGCATTCAGTCAGAGTTGCGAGTGGCACACTTCGCATGCGCACCGCACCGCTCGGCCGGAATTTCAGGTTCAAAGCTTTTGGAGATCGAGGGGCTCGAGTCTCGACGAAGTTGCGTTTTGGAGTCGTGAGACCTCATTCATTCACTTTCACTTTGGCACGAGCATTACGCTTCACAGCTTATCATCCCATTCCATCACCCTCTTTGCCCAACAATCTCCCTCTGCTCATTCCTCTGCTGTCGTAGCTGCTCTCTCGCGCTCGACTGCTCGCAGATCACACGCTTCTCACTGTGCCTAGCACCTCAGTTGTCATTGCCACTACGCAGCGCAAGCGTCGACATGTCAGCTGCCACTTCGACCAGGTCGGCAACCGTCGCAGCCGAGAAAGCGGCAGTATCCGCCGCTGCACTTCAAGGGCCCGCCCAAACTCCAGCGACGCAGCGTCTGCGCCTAATCTCATCCAAGCAGCTCGAGTCTCACAAGACTGCTTCTTCGTTGTGGGTCACTTACAAGGGCAACGTCTATGATGTGACGGAATTCGCTCCCGACCATCCCGGTGGCGATGACTTGATCTTGGAGTATGCGGGCAAGGATATGGAAGAGATCATGGACGACATCGACTCTCACAGTCACTCCGACTCGGCTTACGAGATCCTCAAGGAGAACCTGGTCGGTCGCTTGCCAATCACGCAGGAGGAGCATGCCGCTTTGGCCGAAGCTGAAAACGGCGGCGCAGACTTTACGGGCAAGGATGACGAGCTGGTCATCACTGCCGACTTCCAACCTTCAGACACGGATCTGACGAGCGATTTCGAGAAGCACGCATTCTTGGATCTGAACAAGCCGCTGTTGGTTCAAGTGTGGAATGGAACGTGGGGAAAGGAGTTTTACTTGCAGCAGGTGCACTCTCCTAGACATCTCAAGGAGAGCGCCAGACTATTCAAGAGTCCCTTTTTGGAAATGTTCACAAGGACGCCTTGGTGGGTGGTGCCTCTGGTTTGGGCGCCCATCAGCGCCGCCTTGTTCCAACGAGCCACGAGCCAGTTTGCGGCCAATGCGCTCAAGAGGGCAACAGCGACAGCAGCTGCCAAAGCAGCCGCCTCTTCAGCCGCATCCTCCGCCCCATCCTCTTCCGCTTTCGCATCTTTCCGACAATTGCTAGCCGGCTCGGGCTCTGCAGCCCTCGCGGCGGCAAAGCAAGCGCAGATCAATCAGACGCAACCAGAAATCTTGGCTAGCGTCGCGCCTGCCGCATTGGCTTCCACTTTGGCTTGCTTCGCTACAGGCGTCGTCATCTGGACCATCCTCGAGTACACCATGCACCGCTTCCTCTTCCACGTCGACGAGATGCTTCCGGACAGACCCTTCTTCCTCATGCTCCACTTTTTGCTTCATGGCATCCACCACTACCTGCCCATGGATCGGTGAGTGTTGGCAACCGCATTTGATATGGCTGCGGCTGCATCACGCAGCTACTCGCAGTGCTCTGGTGCTTCCGAAGAACTCCTGGCTAACAGATGATGCCGCTCCTCGTCTTGCGCTGCACAGACTTCGTCTCGTCATGCCTCCTCTTCTCTTTGCGGTGCTAGAATTCCCATTCACTCGTCTAGCATATGCATTGTTCCCAGTGGCCATCGCCAACGGCATCATTAGCGGAGCGTTTGCCATGTACGTCGTCTACGACGTCATGCACTACTCGTTGCATCACCACAGGCTGCCACAGTATCTCCGCGAGATGAAGGCCTACCACTTGGCTCATCATTACAAGAACTACGAGGAAGGTTTCGGAGTCACTAGCAAGATTTGGGATTGGGTCTTTGGTACTGAACTTTAGGTGTCGATTCTCCTCTTTCACTTCCAGAGAGATCCGTTGCCTCGCAATCTCTTCACGTCTGAGGCCTCTCGCAGGCGAGGCGCCTAGAGCCCAGTTGTTGCAGAGACACTCTTCACGTCCATGTGTATATCAGCAGGCGATCTTTACGTGTCGCTGATGCGCTCGTTACGGGCCAATCTCAACGATCGATCTTATGAAGTTCCTTGCCTTTCCGAACTTCGCTG